ACGCTTGGACACAATTCCAACCATGGCAAAATCAACCTTTACCTCCAGGCTGGGAGGCTAGATATGATGGCAACATCGGAAGATAGTAAGTATCTTTTAATCTATGGTTGTTGACTCGTGATGTAAAGTTTCGGCAAAAAAACCTGCGTTTTGATCTGGATGAGTCACGAGCATTTAAGTTCGCTGTCGCTGCGAGGTTTTTCGAACAGATGACCAAGCTGAATATTTCTTTCTTGTGGGAAACATATTACTTTTGAGCTTTCCAGAGTATCATTTTTTTGATTATAAGGAAAACAGTTTGATTATATCTGTAGCTAACAGGTACAGTTTCGTCGTGATTTTTAAATTTTCTGCTTGGTTTACTCTTGGCTAATTTCGGTGTAAAAGTTAGCCTATTATCGGCAAGATGTCTGAAAAACCCCATGCTTCATTATGCGTACAGTTATCCAAAAAGTGAGACAGTGATGAAAATAAAAGTTTATATTCTGGACTCATGTTTTGTTTTAGAATAGTGCAAGGTTATGCGGAAATCTTTCCGTACTATTTCCTCCTTTTATCTTAGTATTAGTGGATATTCTTAAAATATGCAGGCTGACGTTTGTTTAAATTTGTCTTTATCGTAACTAGCGATCATTTTCAGAATTCCATGTCGATAGATTTTTCATTTACAAAATACTATTAATTGAATGTACTTGTCGATAACGTATTCAAAGAATGTCAATTCATGCATCTTCCTTGCAGCAGAGTTTTGAAAAGTCTAAGTTCAATAAACAAGCAAACTATCTCTGGTTATGATTTTCATAAGTCAGACAAGCATTTTACTCATGGGAGAGACAATCAAGGATTTCTCCCTATAATACCTATGAATGCATTGTTAAGCAGAGGGTTGATAGGAAAAGTATAAAATTCTACCATGGGATGTTGTGTGATCTAATGCTAAATTTCCCAGATCCAAAATTCTGAGAAATGTTTGTTAGAGAGTTGGGAGAATTTATATTTAGATCTTGGGAGTGAAAGGGAAAATTACTTGTTAGGAAAGAAAAAATATTGTTATTGGCCTTCAGTGAAGACACTTATTATCAAAAGTAAATAATGGATTACAAAATAATGTTTGTAGAGAGTTATTGTTCGTTATGAAATGACTGAGGTACCATGAGTTAGTCCAAAACCTATTGTTTATTGCACAAATAAACCCATCATTATTTAATAAAAGTGATAAATGACACTCTATCAGTTGACAGGTGAAATAACTTAGGCAGGATGTTGGGAGAACAGAAGTCAGAATAGTTTGTAAATCATTTGCTTCCAGCTTGGATTTTTTAAGGGGTAAACCGATAGAAATTACAGCTTATTGGTTAAAAAAAATGGGGGGCAGGGGTTAGAATTGGAAGAAAAAAGATTGCCTGATTTTATTCACTTAGAACACTACAATCAATTTTGAAGATTTATTGATTTACTTTTACAGAAGTCATGTATGTTTATGAGATATTTATTTTATTGGTCATGTTTTTACAGCTACTTTATTGATCACACTACACACAAGACAACATGGGAGGACCCCAGGTTAAAGAGAACAGAGGCAATTCCTTTGACTCAGTTTAAGGTAAAATTAACCATAATTTGAAACACTATTTGGTTAATGGTCATAGATTTAAATTCAAATCGAAAATTACCATAATATGAACTAGGAAAAAATAACAAGCAGCTAATGAGAGCTCACTGTACTGAGTAATGTTTATTGAGTGGACTGAAATGTAATTTGGTCTGGAATCAATTGCGAGATTTCAAAAGTATTTGCAAGATTTCAAACTCATCAGCAAGTTTTCATATCTAACAAGCTGACAATTTATAGGTATCATAACTTGAAATCATAAGTTGGATTTCGGACCAAACTTGTAAAACACAAAGTTCAAATACCACATTATTACAACCATTTGGAAAACATCCGATCAAGTTAACACCAAAATACAGCCTAGTGTTGAGGACTCTGGTCAATATTTTACTGATTTAATGGCTGGTTTGTGAAAAACTTGGCATGGGCAAAAGTTGCATTTACGGCAAGAAAAGTTGTACATCATTATTTATGAATGAATCAAACTCATTAGAGCCAATCAGACTGTAAAGATCGCCATTGATTTCAAAATGGATGTTATGTTTGCACAAAACTTAAATTTAAGTTTGGGAAAACTTATAAATAAATGAAAACAACTTGTTTTAAGTGTAAGGCATTAGTTTGTGTCTTATCCTGGGTTATTCAGAATAATTGTACTGAAGTCCAAAGCTGCTACAGTGAAACCTATATTAAGCAGCAGAGTATTATTAGTGGTCACCCTGTAATAAGCAAATGGTTGTGAACGTCCCACAATTTTTACCCTTTAATTACAGTAACTAGAATTTTCACCTCTATTTAAAGTGGCCACCTCTTTTATGCAGTCATGGTCACCCATAACTGAGTCCTAACAGCCTTTTTGTGTTTTCTTTCACTTGTAGTGAACTGTCACTCAAATAGAACTAAGAGTAATGTTCCACATAAAATTTAATCCATATCCATCTCCTAAAATCAATGATGGTAGAATTATTAAGCAAATTCTTGTGCATTTAGTGGTCAGTTGTGACATAAAATGATGTTTTTTAATTGTTTCTATATATTACCATATTCTGTGGGACCTGTATTAAGCAGTCACCCTGTATTAAGCTGTTACTTAGCCATTCCCCATGGGTGACCCCTTAATACTGGTTTGACTGTACTTTGATTTACTGTTTTTGTTACCATTGTGATATCATACAGCAACGTTCAGCTGATATCTATAAATAATTATGATCTTTCTGTAACATAAGGCATGAAGTCAAATTGCATATTTCCTTTAGCAGTTCATATTGACAACTGATTTTCAGTGTCTACAGTATTCTGTTTTAGTAGAACTTTGATCTACCAGCTCACTTAACTTGAGTCTTACTTTTGTTAAATAAACATTTTAATAACAAAACAAGTATACTTATTGATTGTGCATTATTTAAGTTTTCGTTGTAAATGATTAGCCACAATGGAGCTCCTGACAGATACTATGTACACTATCAATTGGCTTTATATTCTGTAGCATGTTGGATTGAAAATAATTACTAAACATGCTTTTTTGCACATTTGGTTATAGGGATCATCAGGCAATAGAGCTCCTTCAAATCAGTTGGTGAGGATGGAATGATACTTCTTAATGTTACTAAGGACAAAATGAAACAATAACAACAATTAACTGCTCCCTTGCTTAAATTGGGATTCCCTGTGTGTCCAGCCAGCCCCCAGTAATCACATTACCCAAAGGCCAACATATCCTTGCAACCTACCTAGAAGTCCTCATTCCAGTCACCTGTCAACATGATGAAAGAAAATAAACAAGAGGGTGGGTGAAAGAGGAGAAGGCTTGATACAACAGCTGTCTTTCATTCAGAACTAAAACAAAAACTGATCTTGAGTGATAATATCCAAGTGGGCTGGAAAGAATGGAAGAAGGCAAGGCAGATTTAAAAGTTTGAGTATGCTTAGATATCAATAATTGTGGTGGACTTCATTTCATGATGTAATGGTTTGGTAGAAAGAAGAGTGATCTTTTGAGTGAGATTCATTGGGTCTCCTTCTCAGTAGAATTTCTTAAGATTTGGTGGAATGTTTAGCATATCAGTGCCCTTCCAATTGCCAACTGATTAAAAAAAATTATAAAACCAATTTTAAGTTAGAGGGAGAGAACAAAAATTTGCAAAAAACGAAGAAATTGACTTTGAAATGATTAGTGAGACAAATTTCACATTTTGTGAAAATTGTGAAAGATTTCACCAAAGCAAATTAGAAAGCAATTTACCACTAGTGAGCAACTTACATTTCAGCATTTTTGCTCAAGAATGAAAACCTTTATGTTGATATTAACTACAGAAAACAATTGTCCAACCCTTGTTTATTCCATTTTGGTTAGTTTTGGTGATTTTGAAGGCAAAAAACATAAAAAATTATATTATCTATAATAACGTAATGTTGCTAAGGGTGGAGCTGTTTGGAGCCACCTTAAATGTATGATGGAAATCCAGGAAAAATTTGTTTTGGTTCAAACATTCAAATTAACAAAGATTTGAATTAATAGGAACATGACTTTTTAGTGATTGTCTGAGACAAAGGAAAAATAAAAAATTAACTGGGTTGAAAGCTCCCAACCAAAGAAACAATGTAAACACAGCATAGATATACATGTGAGGTATTTTTAATCACTGTATACTTTGCTTATTATGAAGTTGTCTCATCATGTCTTTCTCTCATATTTCTTTAGGAAACCAACTTTGGGGGAGTTAGCCCTTTCCAAGCAGGTTCATCTTCACGACCAACAGCAGCAAAGAAAGTGACTGAGGTACAGATCATGTGATCATTTGGTACTAGGATATATTCCTTTCGCATCCATCTAGATGGTCACTAGAAATTCCACAAGGGAAGTGGGTTTAAAGGAAGAAATTTAGAGGGGTGGGGGTTGTTTGTTGGGAACATTTTTAACCAAAGGTTAGCAAACATGATCAATTTGAAAGCAGTGGATGATTGATCCTTGTTGAAAGTTACTCTTGAGCCTGCATGGCAGGCCTTTGTTTTCTCTTAAATAAACATGAGATTGAGTACTTCTTGAGTATTTGAGTTGAGTATTTGCATTAACCCTTTTACTCCCAAGATTTTATCATTAATTCTCCTTACTTTCTGCCATAGAATTTTTATGATGTCAGTTCAGAGAATTTGGTTTTGGATCAACTTGTAATCCATAAATTGATCGTTTTCTTTATTCTCACTGTACTTGTCTGCTTGATATTGTCTTCATATTGTTAGGAGAAATTCTGTCTTACACACTTCAGGGAGTGAAAGGGTGAAATGATGGAGTCAATCATTTAATGTATTTAATTTGAATCAAGCTGTAGTGGAAAAGGTAGAATTCTGTTCTCTTAACATTTTTTGTTGTCCTCAAACAACAAAAAATATCTCAGTCTGAAGATGCTGACAGTACAGAACAATGAAAAACCACTGTATACATTTTGTATCAATAATAAGGAATTCTGATGGACAAAAATGTGTAAATGTTGTCAGTCACATCACTTTCATGTCATTGAATTTTTCAGTAGTATTTGAGTTCAAGTACTAAACCTAATTTGTACATGTAGATCCTGCAAGAGGGTTGAATGTTCAGGTATAACAGTGTTGGAATTTCCTTTTGGTAGGGGCAGTTAAAGATGCTCTGAAATGGAAATTTTAGGTAGTGGGGAAATGAAGAATCATCCATAGGGATGACAGTATTTTTTGGAAACTACATGTAAATGTACACATTAGGTGCATGACTCAAATAATATCATGCATTGGCTGTTACTTAATTTTTGTTGCTTTTTTATCAGCCTGAGAAACCTCAGCGTCCAGCCAGTTTTACAGATGACGACTTCCCTGTGGATAGTATTCTATCACAGATGCTGAAGGAAGACAAGAGTGAACAGGAAAAGGAAAATGGTGAGTGTCCATACAATCTTGTTGTAGCTTATGATTGAATGGGGAGAGTGGAGCATAACAGAAAGAGACATGAGAGCTTGTGCGCATTGTTTTTGTACCTGTTTTGTTTTTTTTTTCCATTTGTCACAATTAAATCTGGTTATGGCATGAAAATGCCAGATATCAGAAGATACATCTAGCTTTTGCTGTTTATACTTTTGGTTTCTGTATCACAGTCTCATTTGGGAGTTGGTATTAACCCTTTAACCCCTAAGAGTGACCAACATCTAATTTCTCCTCACAATATCATCCCTGAATCACACAACAAGGTCACAAGAATAAAGGAAATGATCACCAACTAAAGAAGCTCTTGTTTGCAAAACAAATTCTCCTCGTCAGCACCTCAGGAAATGAATAGGAAACAGTAAAGATAATATGCTTGCTGATGTTAGAGTATAAGGGGTTAAACCAAGGTTGATGAAATTGTGCTGAGTATTTTATTTTTGCTGGATCAAACAGATTTAAAAAGATGTTAAAACAACAGAAATTTGGAACTGTTGGTCTGGTGATTTCCCACAATGTGTTTTGTGATAATGATTCAAGAAAGATTTATTCCTTGATTTTGAGAAATATATCTTTGTAAAATGATCAGGCGGAGCATTATTTTTTCAATTCTTTTCTGATTAATAATGTGTATGTACTTCAACCATTCACCCCTAGTGAAGAAACAAAATTGAATATGTGTGCATTCACAAAATAAGGCAGAGATTACTACTGACAAGAAATGTTATGGCAAATAGAGTGATTTCCTGGCTGTGAAAGAAGCAGAATTCAAACTGGCATATGTGGTTATAACTAGTGCAATGTAAAGGGTTTTTATTAGTAAATGTGTTTGGTACATAATTCAAAATTTTTCCTTGATGACTGATTTCAGTGAAAAGGAAGTTAATGGGTGAGTTCCCAGGTGTTGATGAAGTTGTCATAGATGTGGCTCTTCGTTCTGTAAGTATCTTTACTGGGATTCAAATAATCATCAGCTACAATATATGTGAATATCTTCATGATCATGTAGAAAACATGCTTTGTGCCTTCACTGATCATAAATGACCATTGATTGTGTTCAAAGTCTCAGAGAATTCTAAGGATTAATAGGAAGCAAAGAACACAATGTGGCAATTGGCATCATTTTCTGGATAAGGATGGGATGGTATTCAAACAAGACAACAAATTTTTATAATTTTATGAACCTCAGGGCTTTATTTCAAATGGTTGCTATTGTCATGCACAGGTTATATGACTGTATTCTTTATTCTGACTCATAAGCTCACTTGTAAAATGAATAACTTGTTGGTCATTAATGTTTTTACTTTGCATTCAGTATTTCAAGGTAACATGTTGTAGTTGTGTAAATAGGGACAATATCTCGAGCAAAAGTATGGCATGCAAGAAATGAGTTACATGCACTATTTAGAACTTGCATCTAACAATTTTGTACAATCTCTTCCATTCCTATTTGTTGAACCTGTATCAACATTCAATTATATGGATCAAGCTTTGTTCTTTTCACTCATACATAGACTTATTTCCATTTACTCCTTACAATATTAGGCCAAGCACGATGAAAGGAAAGCCAGGGAAGTGATCAAGCAACTGAAAGGTACACATTAGTAACAATGCAGGGTATTTGATTCAGGTTTATTTTGATATTTCTTGAACCTCACTCCATGTTTATTTATATCCTTTGTAACTTATTGTTTAATCATTGTGATGTTTTTTAATGGCAGGTGATGATGACAAAAAGAAAGGGCCTGGGAAGTAAGTTTACAAAGCTGACCTGTATGTACAGCTGTATAGTTTAAGTTAAAACTTTTTAAATGTTGCAGTGTGGGTTAGGTTCTTTCGGCAAAAATGTGTGGGTTTTTTTGGTCACATTGGAGTGTTTTGACTGTTTTTCTTATAAACAAAAGACACCAATCTCTTTATCTCAGCAGTTTGTTCAGTTTCGTAAACAGCCAACTGTTTTGCCTGGCAAAATGTGCCTTGATTTTTGCATTAAACCACCCTTAATACTGCATTGAAAATCTAAAGATTATTTTTGTTTCCACTGGACTGTTTCAAGTGTGAGAAATGATACACAGAGCTTGTTTGGTACAGCAACAGCACCTACCTGTACATAAAAAGTAACTCAGTGTAAACATGCTATTTGCAGAGGAAAGAAACAGACAGAAACTAAACCAAGAACCACCAACAATAGTGGAACATCTATTGCAGCTGCCTCGTCAACTGAACAACTCAATAAAAACAAGGGTAAAGCTGCAACTAAGACCAAATCCCCCAGTGAGGAGCTTCATGTCAAGGCCACACCCACTTCGCCCGCACCCCAGCCAGAAGTCAAGCCACCATCGCCTGCTCCTGCCAAGGTGAAGGTATCCTCAATTTTAGTCCCTGGACCTGGTGGGCAGTCAAGGAAAAGTCCGGGGGGAGCAGCATGGTCAACTCAAGCCCAGTAAGCGAATCATATTTACGGTGTATTTCCTATTTATATTTGCATTGGTTTATTGAGATAATGCCCAATGCCTCATTTATGCACGTGATGAATTATTTTGGGTGATTTTTGTGATAAATCTAATTGTACAAGCCTAACAGCAAGATATGACTTTCATGCGTATAAATCGTTTCTTGTACAAGTGCCCGTTGCGAGATGCTGCATTAACGTAGGGAAAACTCTTGATTAGAAATCCTATCAGCGATCAGTGGCGGGGACATGTCAAACGTTGATTAGTGTTAAATTTACAACTTCCAGTCGAACCTTGGGACTTTTTAAAAGACCCAAACCCTCGAAGGCCTGTAATCAGAAGAGAATTATTATTTCATAATTGTGCTTTTATATAAGCGCGATTTATTGAACACGAAGCTCTTGTCAACTTTGTAAACAAAATTTGCTTGACCTCGACTTCGGAGACCCTTTTAAAACGCTGGAAGATCAGGCGCTTTGTATCCCAGTTTTAATATGTAAGATGAAAATTTGATTGAAAGAGTTCGGATTTGTCGACTGGATTTAAAATACAGACAAAGCTGCTTTCAGACAATCGTCTAAATTGCGGGTGCAATTGAATATGTCTATCTAAATAAGGAGAGTTTTAACTGTCAGTTATTTCTGAAAAGGTGCGTGGAGTAGATAGATTATTTGCGCCGTGTCTCTGCTATTGTCCAAGCCGGTGAACGTGGTCAGTTTATATTGAGAGAAATCCGGAAACACAGCAGCAAACAACGAGTTTTTGGCGTGACTTGATCGCGCTCTCTTACCGAGAAGTGAACTTTTTGTTTCCGGTTTTTGAGTAGTTTAGACAGTTAAAAACGTTCATTTTATTCAGAGCATTTTAATCTTAAATAAATTTGTGTTGATTTTAGAACATTTCACATATCGAGCATGTAGCAAATATTTTAGAGTCAAACTAAATAAACCGTCAGGGGCTACTTTAAGTTTGTTGTTGACAGCCCTTCGCTACCTCTAACCGTCTTTGTCCTTTCTTGGTGTTTCATCATCTCTTTTGTGTTTTCTGTCTTGTCGTGTTAATATTATAAGTTTTATTCTATTTTGAGCTGATGGTAGTTTCTTTGCCTGTCGCTATTTGTCGCAAGCTTCTAACTTATATAATCCCACTTAAAACTCAGGCCTGTTATTACTTCGTTGTTAAGGAGTCAAAATGGTACTGGGACTTGCAGCCGCAAGGGAGGAAAAATGTCTCACGGAGTGAGCTCAATTACAAGATTTACCCTATTAAACTCACTGGTGTCACGAACTCTTTCAAATAAATGCTCACGACAAAGAAGAACACACTATTTGATACGTCCTCTTAGTCTTATTCGCTTCCAACTTCGTTTTGTTTGTTTATTTGTTTTTTTTTCTCACTTTTAGACCGAAGGTCTACCACTCTCCCCTTCGTTGTGTGCCCAGTGGACCTAAACCTGCAAATGCACAGGGACCTAACCCACAGATGCTGCTGTAAGTACTCAGCGCTGTAATCTGCGATCGTTTGAGTCGCCATAGCGGATAGCAAACTTTCTGGTGACTTAATTTGCAGCGAAAGTGGCAAGTTTGGCGACCTGTGCTCGGTGATCATGTACACTGAAGCAAATTGTAACATTTTTATCGGTTAATGTTAAGAGCGCAATTCAACCGAGTATCGTGAAACAAAGACCTGTTAATATCACTACAGCCGATTTCAGGAGAGTAAAATAACAGAAGGACCTAATGACGTTAGTTTTGTGAGCCAATTACAGAGCGAAGTAAAGAAAAACAAAGGCAAGCCCAGATTACTTTTGACACCCAATTGAAATTTGCTCTCTGGTGTTAAGTCAAGTTTGATAAATGATTGCAAAATATTTAGCTCGAAGCTCCGTTTACTCGTTCAGAGTAGGCGTGGCTTGAGAACAAATCGTAAATCGTTTTCCGTTTTCTTTTCCGAAAGGCCTGAGTGGATCCAGCCACAGGGACCACATACGGCTAATTATGCGGGCCCTCAGCGAAGCAATGTCCAGGGACCTACTAGGCGAGCCTCAAACAGGAAAGTGCCCTTGAATTGTGGTACGTACTATGAAAAGGCAGCTCTTACACTTTTTCAGGGTAGTTGACCTGCTTTGAAGACACATCTGTAGATAGTTTTTCTTTAAGATAGATGTTATTTGTCATGTCACGAACGTGGGACAAAGAAAAGATCTGAACCCCACTGAGGAGTCGAACATCAGGCCTTCCTCTTACCGGCCTCGATACTCTACCACTGAGCCACAGAGACTCTGGTGAACTCAGCCATCCCCAGGTTCATAGGTGACTCGCGCCAGGCATACTGCAAGGATATGCATCGTACAAAGTGTCGTTTACGAAAAAGAAGAGGGTGATGGTAAATTTTGAGCCTGGTTTGTCTTAGTTATGATTTGAACATTGTTCAACATTAATCCAAATCGCACCTGTGTTTAGGTTTTTGTGCAGCATACGAAGATAATGATGTGTTTTCAAACCGGCAAAGTAACGTTAATGAGTCGAGATTTGAACCAGACATTGATTGATGTTTGCGCCTGCAACCTGTTAAACAAGAGAGGCGAGCTGTGGAAATTACTCAAAATTGCAAGACGTTGTAATTTTGTTTCGCGCTTCTCCCGCGAACGACACACCTTTGCAGTTGCCTGGAATGCGTTTTCGCTGGCTCCCATGAAAACGCCGAAAACCTTTTCCATTTTTTGGCTAATAGTAAGTTGACCTGTGTTTCTTTTTTTGAACAGGTGCTCAAGCAAGCAATCATCAGGGCTCGAATATAAACTTGGTTCATGGATCAGTTTATGCCCAAGCTACTTTGCTGTGAAGCTTTGGAAAGCTAACTAAATAACACTGCGGACACAGACAGTATAAAAGTGTTTGTTTTAGTTACTAAACAGCTGTAGAAAGGAGTAAAAAATTTTTGTTATAATAACCTCTGGTTTACAATCAGATCATGAGGTCGAGATTTCTTTTGTGATAGCTATTAAGGGTAAAGCCCTAATCAATTATTACACGTAGTAATCGAGAGCAAATAATCTGTTGTAGTGTTTATTTTTCAGTCCAATGCTTTTCATTTTCCCGCAGCCAAACAATGTGAGGCTACTCACAAGCTATCACAGAATAGATAGCAAGTAACGCAGCCAATCAGATCGCAGCATTTGTGATAGAATGCTATTTTATTTATACCAATAGTCGTTAAGTGGTTACGTAAAGATGAGACCTATTGTTTTCTGATGAAAACTTGACCTATACAATTGTACCAAGTTAAAAGGCAGAAAATTAATCTTTTCGAAAGAATTCAAAGACAGCTTCAATTAAACAGCGTAAATGAGGAAATGGCGAAGGCAGACTGAAGTTGTGTGGCATTATGATAGGGGCACAATTTCTTACTGATCTCTTCATCCTGTCGGCCATTGCAGTGAGTCTCGACGTCTGGCTCTTTTCTATAAATTATTAAATTTGGTTCTTTTAAAAACAGGTTAATCACCCCTTGTAATGAGTTAGTTTTCATTTGAGGTCATGTGACATCGTTACATTCCCAAGAGCCACCGATTCTGGGGGTTCAACTAAACATCAGGGGGGAGTCAGGGGGCTCAACCAAACATCAGGGGGGAGTCTGCGTCCCACAACCCTGTTAGTTATTCTTTAAACTTTTCGTGGCTAGCCATCTTTTGAAAGGTATGATTCAGAGACTTTATTCAATCTTATTCCAGAGACCTCTATTTCGAAAGCTTTACCACTGCTGGCATAAAGTATCAGATAGGAAAACTTTGAAGCATAGTTCACCGTTTTTCAGGAAAGGCTTCCTAAAAATCTGAGTGCCAAACCGAAATGTAACAGGCGTTTCGCCTTTCTTTTGGGAAAAAAAAAAACAAAGAACGCTGGACAGGGGGAGGGACAATTTTGTGTTGCTCTGCTAACCGTCACCCCCGTTCCAAATCAGCATTAATTCCATTCAGTTCAATAGTCTATTCAGTTTTAGCTTGCTTTCCTTTTTCTTTTTCCCTAGTAACTTGCCATACAGAGCTTAGCAGCAACGAAGTGTTTTTCATCTTACTGTAAGACGGTTTCCCTCTGAAATAGACGAAAAATCTTGGAAATATTTTCTGCAAAGGATTTTGGGCACACTCGAAATGATTTTAGTATGACAGAGCATATCTAAACGCGATAATTTTCCACTTCCGGTGCTATTAACTAAACAGGCACCTGGAAAGCCAAGAAAAAAAAACTATTAAAAGAACGATGACAAGAAAGGCAGCAGCAACTTACGAAAAGAAAAAATAATTGTGACGTGGATACAAGGACGAATATGTTGTCATGAACAATAATATAATATTCTTCTCAATAACGATCATCGAAAATTTTTAGACAAAAAAAATTGCTCAAAACACGCTTGAAAGAAGCTTGTAACTATAGACTTGAATGTTAACAATTCATATAAAATATGCATAAGAGTTCAAAATCCCGATGATTTATTCAAGGTGACGTTTGGGTAGGTCTGTTGTTTGGTTGGCGATTGCCTTTGTCATTCGCTCATTGTTTATGGCTGATATTCAAATTAAGAAGAACGGTAACGCGAACATTGGCGAACTGGTATAAAAGTTAGCCAAGTTGTATCTATGGTCTTATCACTTTGATCAAGGCTTTACTTTTGAAGGAAATGATGGTAAAAGTTTGATGCAAGTTGCAATTTTTCCTTTCATACCACGGCTGTCAGAGCTGCATAGCTTTACAGGTACGTGTAACTGTGGAAATCAGTCTGTTTATCTTTGAGCCTCTGAAAGTTAAAACTTATCGCTGGGATATCTGTGCCATTGAGCGAATTTTAGTATTTTCCCAACGAAGATCGATCCGAAGTTAGATTCGTCGCTGATTTTCAATTTTAAGCAAAGGATTGTTTTAAAATTTGCCCCGAATTATTCGGTATTTCGCGTGATGTAGAAGTAGTAGTCAATTCTAGAATAATCTAAGCGAGCGAATAAAGCCGGTTGGAAGTTCTCGTGGCGTAAATATGCGTTATGATATTAAACTTTTATTAATACATCGATCGGTTTTCATAACTTTTGCTTTGAGTAAAGAAATATTCGGTGTAATGGTTTGCCATTAACAAAACATAATCTTAATGTACAAGGCAGTGAATGTGAGTTGCAGTCAATTTAGCCAGGTCATTAAGCATTTTAGTGGTGCATACAGATCCTAAAAATTCAAACATTTGTCAATTCCTCCCAGCCTCGGGCGTATGCGTCGTTTATTCTTTAAAAGATGTAACGAAATATTGCTTTGTTTTCACATGTTTTTCTTTACCAAAAAATTGGTTTGAATCGATAATAACAGATTCGGATGCAATTTGACTGAGGGCCGATTACAAATTAAAACAATTAATATTAATGCGACCTCACGGAAAGTCATGACGGATAATTTAAATTAACACCTCGAACATGTCGTTTTATTTTGCAAAATTCATAGTTTTTCATATTGAGAAATTCCAATGATTCAATACAATCACAAGGAAAAACACCTCCATGTTATTTTAGCTTTTCCAATGTTTGTGTTTTACAGCTGAGCGATTTCGCGGGAAAGTGATATTTACCATGGGGAGCTGTCAATCATAATAAATTGATTAACTCTGTAGAACAGATAAATTTAGAAACAATAGACAACTGAATATGGGAAAGTTAAGACGTTTATGGAAATGTATGGACGAATCTAGAAAACATCTGACGAAATTTATTTTTCAACACACCAACATCCGTGAAACTACTCTTGTAAATATTGGTCTTGATGATGTTTTTAAAGCAAACATTTAAGTGCACTACTTAAGTTTAAAATCATTCTGTTGGTAATTTACTGTTTATCATCAATTGTCATTTCAGCCCTCGATGAATCTAGTTGATCAGGTCTAGAAAGCGGTCAGTCAATGGTCACTTTAATGTTCAAATAGCCCAAATGGTTGCTCCAGATTGATAGTAAATGTCAGGCTATTATGTCAGATGCGGTCAGTTGTTCAGTCGATCGATCGAAGTCGATGGGTCGTAATATAGTCTGTCGGTCTTTCAGTCCATCAGGCTCAATGAATCAAAAGGGGAAAGGCTACATTGACACTCACCCATTCAAAAGTTTAAGCTTTTCTAAGATTCCATTTTAATTCTTGTATTTTTTGTAGTTTTCAACATGTTATATCCTTAGTTAGTCCTTCGTTAACTTTGTGGGTCTAGTTCCCATATTATATTTATCTGTGAAATTGAAGTTGTCCTATTAGCAATAAATACAGCCATTTTTTTAACGAGTTTGTATTAGTTTTAATTTCAATGAGTGATCCACCTAGAGTAGCACTCAAGCTACCTGTAGGTGTATGAAAATTTTACCTGATTTGTATTAAAAGTAATTACTGTATGTCCCTAAAGAGTTCTTTAACTAACAAAGGATCCAGCCGTGAGGATTATTCTGGTTGGTCAGTGTTGCATGTAAGTAGTTAACAAAAGTCGTATCCTTAAATTTGTAGTGAGGCGAGCTTGGTTTCTTTACATCACACTTACAGTCTCTGACAATCCCCATTATGGCCTTCTACTCCAAGGTGAGTATCATTCATCATTCAACTGAATATCAATTGGATATTGCAAATTTTATCGGGCTATCAATTTCGAACAGCAAAGCAACTTCCAGCTGATGTATACGTTTTCTTGCACAGGGAGACCACGTGTGGCTTGCTATAAAAGACGTGAAGGACTTTAATGTCCCTATCGGCGCAGTTGTGAAATCAGTGGATGGACTTGGAATGTTGCTCACAGACGACCAAGGAGAGGTATGAAAGAAACTGTCGCCTATTATATAACTTTAGAACCATCAGTTATTTAAAACCAGTTTTTATTGTCTTTTATTTCTTGCAGGAACGATTTGTGGGCGGATCTTCTTTGAGTGACGTACAGTCAATGCATCCAAGCTGCATTTGTGGAGTGGATGATATGATTCAACTTGGAGAGCTCACTGAAGCGGCAATTCTGAGGAATTTGTTTATCAGATACCACGGCCACAAAATTTACGTACGTTTTAAGGACCTTGCGTTTACACCGTAAACATGTTATATCCAGGGATCTTGAGCAAGGGATTATAAACTATTTATAATCTCTTGATCTGGCCAAAAGAAGCAAGAAGATTGCCGACCAGGAATGAAATCTTAAACCAACATAACTTCAAGGGTAACCTCGCGAAACACTTTTTTTGCGTCACTATACACGTCATGACTGGTCCGGAAAATATGACCTGCACTGCTCTCTCAACCAATCAAACGCAAGAAAAAAACTGATCACGAGCTTGCTTCTAAAAACTCTTTTGCTCTTGAGGTCGTTTGCCGTTCTTTTGGTTGACCTTCGAATTCTGATTAACTCTTCGAGATATAAACCTTGTTTCTGACTGGCTGATTTAAGTGTTACGATGCCCACTTTAAAAGAAATTAAAATTTAGAATTTATTTGAAAAGAAAGGTTTCTATTCTACGTTTGCAGACGCATATCGGCATGGTACTCGTAGCAGTCAATCCATATCAGTTGTACCAGATATATGGTCGTCAGCAGATTGATATGTACAGTCAGCAAACAGATATCACTGAGCTGCCGCCTCATATATTCTCCACAGCACAGCATGCGTTCACCTCCATGAAGAGGAGACTTCACAACCAGAGTATAATTATAAGGTATGTGTGTTTTTGAACTCCTTCCGCTAAGTTATGTGATAATGATGATGATGATGATAACGATGACGATGACGATGATGATGACGATGACGCATTTCGGGAGAACTCGAAAACGCTTTTCTGCCACCTTTGCAAGTGGATTTTCCTCATTGTAATTAATAAAAAATTATTTTTGCAGTTAAGATAAATATCGTTATTTCTGAGGGTATAAAAAGAAATTAGACAAAGTCTACAGAGCCTAAACCCTTACTTTTGACAGTACTACCTTTTATCGTGCATCCAACCGAAAAACCGGAGAGGAGAGTATATCATAGAGAAGGATGTTACCTTGAGCTGGTTTGTTTTCTTGTCTCTGACTAGAAAAATCTATTTTTTAACCTATTTCGTATTAATGGACTAAAAAAATGGAACTGCATCGGGTGTACTTCAGATGAGACAAAATGCCCTGAGGACTTTGTTATACATTTTACCGTTTACGAATGCAAGTAAACATCACCTTAAATAAGGATGCAAAATAAGCTTTTGATTTTTATAATTCTTATGCCCTGTCTTTTAGTGGTGAAAGTGGCGCCGGCAAAACTGAATCTACAAAGCTAATCCTTCGTTACTTGACAATTGTGGGTGGCCAACACACGACGCTGGATCAACAGATAT